TGTGTGAAGCAGTTTCTCACTTCCTAGAAATTACTTCTTCAAAATCACCTCAAGGAAGCTTCCTCTAAACGCTAAATTAAAAATAACAAACCTCCATCTACACTCTAACAGTCTTGTCCCCCTATCATTCTTCATTTTCTTCATAATACTTCTTACCACCTAATATATATCAATTAGTTTTTTATTGTTGGTAGCATACCACTAGATTATATGCTTTGTGAGGACAGATATTTTGTTTTATTTTCTTCTGTATCCTCAGTACCTTAAAACAGTGCTTGACACTAAATTTTTGAGAGATTAGGTAATTTCTCCAAGGCTTCCCAAATAGTAAATGAACAGAACAAAGATTCTACCAATAGATATCTAATTTAAAGTGTATGTTTTTAACTAGTACACTTAGTTAAAGTATGTAGTTTACTCAAAGCCACAAGATTAATCATGTCACATTATCCTGAAGTATCAATTTTATTGATGATAAAGTAGTTAACCATTGTGCATATGAAAGCAAATATATCTTCTTCGATTTATTGAACTTTCTATAATTTTTAGTATACAGATATTTTACCTCTTTGGTCAGGCTTATTGCTAGGTATTTTATGGTTTTCAGTGCAATTGTAAATGGGATCAATTTCTTGATTTCTCTTTCTGCTGCTTCATTATTGGTGACTAGAAATGCAACTGATTTCTGTACCTTGATTTTATATCCTGTGACGTTGCTGAATTCATCTATCAGTTCTAGTTTTTTGGTGCAGTCTTTCAGGTTTTCCATGAAATGAAAAAATATGCTCATGGATTGGAAGAACAAATATTATTAAAATGTTGATACTACCCAAACAATCTACACATTCAGAACAATCCCTATCAAAATAACACTAGCATTCTTCACAGAGCTGAAACAAACAATTCTAAAATCTGTATGGAACCAGAAAAGACCAAAAAGCCAAAGTAATGCTGAAAAAGAAAACCAAACATGGAGGCATCACAATTACAGACTTCAAGCCATATTACAAAGCTGTAACCATCAAGAAAGTAGGGTGTTGGCACAAGAACAGACACATAGATCAATGGAACAGAATAGAGAACCCAGAAATTAACCCACAAATGTATGGCCAATTAATCTTTGACAAATCAGGAAGGATTATCCAATGGAAAAAGAGACAGTCTCTTTAGCAAATGGTGCTGGTAAAACTGGACAGTGACATGCAGAAGAATGAACCTGGACCACTTTCTTACATTATACACAAAAACAAACTCAAAATGGAGACAAGACCTTAATGTAAAACAGGAAACCATCAAAATCCTAGAGGAGAAAACAGACAACTTCTTCAACTCCTCTTCAATTTCTTGCTTGACATGTCTCCAGAGGCAAGGGAAACAAAAGCAAAAATGAATTATTGGGACCTCATTACGATAAAAATCTTCTGCACAGTGAAGGAAACAGTCAGCCAGACTAAAAGGCAACTGAAAGAATGGGAGAAGATTATTTGCAAATGACATATTTAGTATCCAAAAGTCTATTAAAAATGTATCAAACTCAACACCCAGAAGACCAAATAATCCAGTGAAGAAATGGTCAGAAGACATGAATAGATACTTTTCCAAAGAAGACATCCAGATGGCCAACAGACACATGAAAAGATGCTCAGTATCACTCATCATCTGAAAAAGACAAATCAAAACCACAATGAGCTAACACCACATCTGTTAGAATGGCTAAAATTAACAACTGAGGCAACAACAGATGTTGGAGAGGATACAGAGAAAGGGGAGCCCTTTTGCACTATTGGTGGGAATGCAAACTGGTACAGCCACTCTGGAAAACATTATGGAGGTTACACAAAATATTAAAAATAGAACTACCCTATCACCCAGCAATTGCACTACTAGATATTTATTCAAAGAACACAAAAATGCTGATTCAAAGGGGCACACACATCCCAATGTTTATACCAGTGCTATCTAAAATAGCCAAATTATGTAAAGATATCAAATGATGTCCATCGACTAATAAATGGATAAGGATAAGGAAGAATATATATATAAGTGTAAATGGCCAAGGATATTCAGAATTTTCAGTATTTTTCTAAAAATGAACAATTAGGGGGTGGGATTTAACCTGACAGATATCAGATTTTATTCTGAAGCTGTAGTAATTAAGACAGTATGAATCTAAACAATAGACAAATCAATCGCTGTAATGAAATGAAATGAAATCCCAAGAGAAACCTATATTATATGAATCATTGGTATGACAAAAATGAGGAAAGGAAGAATCATCATGGAGCTGGGGAAAAGGTATCCATATGGCAAGAAGTAAAATTGAATCCTATATCACCCTGTATACTGAAATCAATTCAGAATGGATCAACTTCAAATGTCAACACTTAAAGTTTAAACTCTTTGGAAGAAAATTTGGGTGAATATCTTTCAGATTTTGGCATAGAGAAAGGGGCTTTTAAACATTATACAAAAAGAGGTGATATAAAAGAAAAGATAGATATACTTGACTTTATTAAAACTTTATTAAAACTAGGAACTTGTACTCATCAGAAGTCGTGGCACATGACTCAGGTATATTTTTATTCCCATATTATAAATGAATGAACAGAAATTCTGAGAAATTAAGTGGCTCTTCTACATTCAGCTTTTAGCAAATTGAAGAGCCACTTCTTTGATAAAGATCTCAACTTCCAATCTTCCACAGAGTGCTTCTCCTATTGTTTATTGCCACTAGGGAAATAGTGGGAGTTTTGTTTAATATGCACAAGAATTTTGTGAGGGGGGTATTAATATCTTATTTTATAGGTAAAGAAATTAAGGGACAGAAAGAATAAGAAATCTGTATAAATTCACATTGCATATTGGAAGCAAAGTACAAAACTCTAATCCAGTGGTTTACTAAATTTTTATTGCCTTAATAAAACCTATACACTGCTGTCCAATAAGGTCACATTTATCTACCCTCTTAAGGATCCATCAGCCCCTGCACACCCCCAGTAATGAATTTAAACCAAAATGTTCATATTCCCTATGTGCTCCCTACCCCCAGCCCCACCTTGGCCCAGTGAGCCTCTTTTAGAACTTTCATAGAAGTATGTCCTCACCTTGGGGGAAATTTGGGCTCTCTGCTACGGAAATTACTAGATGTCTACATTTCCTGACTATAGAAATATGAAATTTGTTTTGTCATAAAACAGGAAGTGTGGCAACCACAAATTTCCCTTCTTAAAACAGAAGGGCTGCAATATCTTGTCTGGATCCTGGGGATTGCTTTTGATGTAGAATTCTGTTTATTTATTTATCTATTTCTTTATCTACCACAGACTCAGCCTCTCTCCTCTCCTCAACTACAGTATTTATTCTTTGCTAACACTACAAAAGAACTTGTATCTACACAGAGTACTGGTATAATTCTAATATCTTCTCCACCCCAACACAAATTATTACTGGTAATTTCCTTCAGACAAGTTCTAACACTTAATGTATTATCTCATTTTTTAAAGCTATAGATGACCATGCAAATTGTACAAAAATTGTGAGTCCTAGGAGTATAGAAATAGAGCTTGGTATTGTAATAAAAAATAAAACAACAATTTTCTTTGACATACTTCTGATAATATTCATAGTCATTGTGATATGTTGTTATTAGACATAAATCAGTGAGCAGTTCACATAATAGGTGACTACAATTTCCATTAGTTTTATCGTCTTCCCTTATGGTTTAATTCTTGCTACTCAGAACACAGGCATCTTGTTTCTCTTTTTCATTTACTGGGAAGGGTATGTAACTGATTTTGTTGCAAGAGCAGAGAATAGCCAGGATGCCCCAAGACTTTTCTACCCTTTTCTTGCCTTTCTTCTAGTATGACCAAATGAACTCTGTTTCCTCCTGGATATGATTTCCATTTGTCCCTGGTTTTCCCTACTACTGTATGCTTACTTTTTGCCTACTCCCTATGCTTCCTTGGGCAGCCCTCTTCATTTTTAACCTTTGGTCAACTGGACCAGCTCTGAGTTGATACCGACATGGATAAGGCTGTGGCATCTTTGGGTCACTAAGCTGTACCTGGTCATAGAGTGTCTCTAAACTGCAGGCAGGAATATTTTCTGAACATTGGGGTTCAAGAGACTATTATAAGTTCTTAAAATATACTCAAAAACCCATGACCGGGTAATAAAAATCTACTGAAATGGAGATTCAGCTCAAGACCAGGAAAAGTTAAACTTGAGTATGTCCTCAGGGCTTTGTTGAAAAACACTGATCAGTTTGCTTGGTCATGTTAGCTGTCTGATTATTTTCAAAGGGATTTCCTGGAAGATCCCTGCTCAGGCCAGACCCTTATCCATTCCCATGAACAAGCCAAGCTTGGCTCCAGGAGACCTTCTCCAGGCCTTGCCTCAATTTGGACTGAGAAGGGTCTCTGCTATCCTACCTTGGGTAGGCGTGGGATGCATGTTAACACAGGTCTCTTGGGAACACAGGTGAAGTCAAGAAGCTGAGTTTATCCCTCTTCTACCTCTGCTACTCTCTAAATAATGTTTTCACATGCTCAGTCTGCACTTTCTCTCTGATACTAGGCGTATGTGCTCTGAGGATGAAACAGACTTGGCAATAGGCTAAACCCTGTTGATCAGTCAGAAATGCTCAGTTCTATAGAAACAGACCTCATTACTATATCAACTGAGTTGTCTACCTAAAAGTGACCCTGTCTCCTGGAGGTGACTGACATCTAGTCCTCCAAAGCAGAAGATCACTTCCAACACAGGCAAAGGCCTCTCCTGGTAGAGAGATGGAGAAAGGGATCATTTACTAGATGTCTGGTGCAGATCTAAAAAGAGTCACAGCTATGACACTCACAGAAAGTGGAGTGTTGGGGGGAAACTGCTGGCTCAGAATGGGAAGTTTGTCTCTGTTGTATGTATGCAAGTATATTTGCGAAGGGACTGGAGCACTAGCCCCAAGGATTTGTTAGGGAGCTCTGCCAGGAACATGTAGAAGATGGACACAGTAATTTGATGTTCTGTATTTCCTGTACCAATCCCAATTATATTCTTCTTGCTTTCTCCACAAGTGTGTTTTTCTTGTCAGAGGCCACAGAGAACTCCTATCATTTGACCAGCTTCTCACAGATCCAGCGCAAGTTGATGTCACATGATGAAGCATCGAATGTATTTGTTAGGCCTATGGTCACACAGTTGAAGTTTTCTTGCTGACTGGTAATGCTAAATGGGAAAGGAAATGTGATTAAGGCCCATTTGTCAGTCCTGCCCTTTGCCAATTCCAATCCACCTTCTCCTATCCCCAAATCTAGCTCTACACTGGCCCTTCTCTGTGAGCTCTCCTGTGAGATGGGCTCAAAGTCCATCTTGTGCTTAACTAACTCTTGTGCTTAACTAACTCTTGTGGTTGGTAAGAAACATCTCATCTGTCTTTTTCTCCTAGAAATAATGTTTTAGTACTGTATGTGCTATGTTCACAGCAGGAGTATGGAGAGGTTGCTCTTCCTTTCCTAGGCCCCAGCTGGCTTTAGGAGAAACTCTTTTGGCCTTCCCCCACCTCTTTTTCTGTCATTCAATCCCTTTCAATCTGACTGGGAAGAGTCTGGTTTCATGGAAAGTTCATGAGTTTTGGAGTCAAGTTGATGTGGATGGAGCCACAATTTAATCTACCCAATGTGGTGATATTCAATACGTTTTTAAGCCTCCCATCCTCAGTTCACCTGTCTGTTAAATGAGGATTAATAAAAGCTTTTTTCTACAGCATCATTGTGAATACTGCAGGAAATGACATGAGTAAGTGCTTAGCAGGTGCCTGACATTTAGTAGACATTGAATGAATCTTAATTTCCTTCCTTCTGTGAGAAGCCCAGTTATAGGCTGGGGAACTGACTTACTTTCTGTCTGACTCCACACTTTCTTATGTATACCAGTAATGTCACATTCTCCACCAACACTTATGTCCATGGAATGATTCATAGGAGATAGCTCTTGGGAATTGAAGTTCATAGCTTTAAGGCATAGACAGTTGCTAATGATAAACTTCCTTTACATAAAGAAGACCCATATGGGGAACTTATAAAAACTTAGTAATAAAATACAGTTTATGAGTTAAAAGAGACTTTGAAATATAGCAAACAAATGGTATGTGTGTGGATTTGTTTGCATCTTTATTTGAACAGAAGAACTCATTGTATGAATACTCTTCTCTCTGCTTAGAAATGTTTGACATTCTCCTTAATAAAAGTTTACCAAAAATGTGTCTCTGGGAATAGGTGCATCAGAAGAAAGGAGAGGAATAAAACAAAAAGTCAAGTCTCAGCTTTTGTGCTATTCCAGGATAAACCCACTGAATCTCAGGTCTGGTCTGTTTAGGCAAACCAAGATCTGTAGAAAGATGTGAGATATTCACATACTTGCCATTGAATGGGGAGTTGTTGATCCAACGCCATCTTTTCTCTGTATCCTGGTATAAGCCAATAAAATATTTCTCAGCACCAATTATGTTCTGCAGAAATTTCTAGAAGATAAAAAAATAAACAGTTCAACAAAAAGGAGGTTTTTTGTTCATTTGTTTTTTGTTTCTGTTTTTATTTATTTATTTATTTATTTATTTATTTATTTATTTATTTATTTTTTGCTGCTGTCTCCCTTGTACCAAAACACCCTGATTATATCTGATTCTGGGAACTGACAGGCTGGAAAGGGACTCTGGGGCTGGCTGTAGCTGGCATTACCATAAACCCTAGAGTAGTTTTCAGTATACACAGAGCATCAGGATCACCTGGAGGTCTTGTTAAAACACAGCTTGATGGGCTTCTGATTCCTGGGAGGTCTAGTTTAAGGGACCAAGAATTTACATTCCTACCAAAGTCCCAGGTGATGCTGATGCTGCTCTCCAGGGGCCACACTATGAAAATGAAGAGGAAGGGTATATATGATCTAAAAAAGGGCAATTTCAAATAATCCTTTTTTTTTTTTTTAATTTGACATGCCTCTCTCTTTCACTGCCAGAAATTTTACATTCCAAATGAGGTCGAATCAAGTGAATTTCTTGAGTTCTTAGCAAGGCAGTATAGTTGGGGAGATTTAAAAGAGTGTTGAGAAATAATCAGTGAATTTTGAGTAGTTGCTAAACTGACACCAATCTATGATATCTTAGTTTCTTTACTAAACCAATGAATCACAAATCACTCAAGCCAGAAGACTGAGAGTTCCTGGGTTCTTTCCTGTACTCTTTATAAACCTCCTGTAACCAGCGAATGGGTATCCAAGTTCACGTGAGTCTTTCTCCAACCAAGGGTTATTGATTTTATTCATCTTTTTCCAATATTCTCCTTCCCTGAAATATCTCATTTCATTATTCTTTAAAATTAATTACTGTATTTACTCATTTAACGAAGATTTCTTGAGTATCCAGTGAGCCATTGTATGAGGCCAGGGATATGGAAACAAATTGGTTTCTCCTTTAAAAAATTATGATCTGGGACCACCTGAGTGCTCAGTCAGTTGACCATCTGACTTTGGCTTAGGTCATGATCTCACAGTTTGTGGGCTTGAGCCCTGTGTCGGGCTCTGTGCTGATAGCTCAGAGCCTAGAGCCTGCTTGGATTCTGTGTCTCTTTATCTCTCTCTGACCCTCCCCTGCTTGTGCTCTGTCTCTTTCTCTCTCAAAAATGAATAAACATTAAAATTTTTTAAATAAGAAATTATGATCTGAAATGAGATTTGCAAACTATAGCCAGAGGGCCAAATCCAGACTTTAGCCTGCTTTGTAAATAAGGTTTTAGTGGAACACATCCAGGCCCCCCCTTTTTTTTTTTTTACATATAATCTATGGCTGCTTTTGAGCTACAAGGGCAGCATTAAGCAGTTATGAGTTATGATAGAGACCATATGACCTGAAAAACAAAATATTTACTATCTTACCATTTAAGATAAATTTGCTGACAAATGGTTTAAAATAAGGGTTCTTAACACGTTACTCTCTTGCACTGAGCCATGGATGGTTATGAAGAGGGTTTATGAAGCTGTTGCAGCTTTACTCAAAATATTATGCTTATGTAGTGTTTCTGGGAAGAGGTATATGGCTTTAATCACCATTGTTAAAATGTCAGTGATCCGAACATGTTGAAGATCCACAGGTCTAATAAGAGAAGATAGATGAGTTAATCAGCATAGTGAAGTCTCCCAGGTATAGAGCTAGGGAATATGTACTAGACATAGAGCAGGCAGAAAGGAGGAAGTGATCAATTCTACATGGATTTGGGGTCTTCTAGAAAGTTGAAGTGATACTGGAGATGAATTCTGAAAAATAGCTGTTTGTCAGGAAAAATGCGAAGGGAGGGTGTGGAAATTCCTGGAAGAGGGAACATCAGATCACAGGTAGACTGCAGAGCACCTGAATGTGGTTGTGTAGAGGGAGAAGGGAGGTTGGTGGAGAACGAGACTGACAAGAAGGCAGGTGCTGTACAAGGCCTTATGTGTCATGCTAGGAAAACTGGACTTTAACCCACTTTAATTTGGAAAATGGCACAGACAGTTTAGAGTGGTAGGGATGTTATTGTGTGGGTTCTATGGAGGATAGGTAAGAAGGGGCAAAATCAGGGACAAGGAGAAGAGTTAGAAGAATTCTTAAGAAATCCAGGTGAGAAATGAATAATTTTCTGTGGAGATAGAGAGGAAAAGAGTTGGTTAGCAACTAATTTAGGGGAGAAGAGAAGAGATTAAGTCTCAGAAAACCATCAGCATTCAATCTTGGGTGACATGATGACTCACCAATATTTGGAACACAAAAGGAGGAGCATTTGAGGTAAAATTTAATTTAGCTTAGTTTTGAACATGTTGAGTTTGTGGTGCTTTTGAAAGATCAAAGTGGATTTTGATGTATGGTCTGGTCTAGAGAAAAGTAGCTGGGGATACATACTTGAGATCACTCGCAAATTGTGGACATGATGAGCTTTTTCTGGAGAGTACCAAGGATTCCAACTTGAGATGCACCAGAACTTGAGGGTTGAGTAGAGGAAGAGACTGTCAACTTCCTCTTTCAACTCCCTTTCCCCCCTCTTCTCTTCGTTTCTCCTTTCTCCCCCACAGCTTACTTCTTGTTTTCTATTGTAAGGTATTTCCCCTTCCCATCTGTGTACTTAGCCTCAGAGGATCTGTAGCGTTGTGACCCCTGCTCTTTGTTAGACACCTGTCACCAAGACTCAGAGGGGGCCCTCTTATGACTTCTCCTCAACCACAGGAGGACTTTATAGAGGAGAGGTGAATGAGAGAGGGCAGAGAAGCAGCCATGGAGTATATAACACATGCCTAGCACTCAGCTGATGCTCAGGATTTGAAGGAGATGCAATGATAAACTAAGATAACTTATTATCTAAAATTGATTAGAGCATCGGTTTTAGAGTTAGAGAGATATCAGTTTAGTCCTGTCCTGTCATTTAGTGTGTGTATAACTTGAGTCAAATTATTTTTCTGTATCCTAGCCTCCTCAGATACAAGATATGGATAATGATACCCCCTCAGAATCTTTATGATAAAATTTTTTTGTCATAACTAGATACTACTATCCCAATTCTATGATTTGATTCTTTATTTTTCATGTGGCTAATTTTGTTAATTTGCACATTATTTATTTATGAGGATGCTACATTAATAGATCACATATATGAAGTATGCTGTAGTTTTTAAACAACTTTTATACGCATCAGCTCATTTGGTCATTCCCTGCACTTTAAATGTCCTGACCCATCCTGAGGATATCAGTGCACTGCTAAACTTCATGGGAGAGAGGATACAGTGTGGATTTCCCCAGCTCAAATGACCTGAGGAATATACCCCATTGCTACTGTATAGAGTCTCCAACCTTCTGATTCAGAGCAAGGATCTTGGGCTCTCAGCCAGGCATCTCTCCATTTCTCACCTCTACCCTGTCCCCACTCCACCAATCAAATCACTCTGCCATCTCCACTTGCTGGGGCTAATGTAGTGTGGGGTTTTCCCAGTGCACTCACCAGTTTCTCTAGCGTGTTGACAATGGCTAAAGTGGATCCTTCTGTTTTGCAAAAGTCCCTGCTTTCATTCCAAGACATTTCAAAAGGGGACAACCAAAAGCATTTTCCTTGATGAAAATACCACCTGTTGGGGCAGACTAAAGAAATGCAAGAAAAGAGAGTATAGGATTAGTGGTTTGGAGCGTGAACCCTGGAATGGGGTCATAACATAGTGGGACATGAATTTCTTTGTAGCAGTTATATCTATAGAAATCATCCTCAATCCAGGTAGAAATCCCAAGCAGCCTAGTCTTAGTTTCCCTGTGGACAACATGACAGGGATGAACTAGAAGGTCTTTATGGCCCTCTTGAGCAAAAAAGTTCCACAAGAAAGGAGGCAATGGGAAAAGTGTCTAAGAATTCAGCACATAAGAACCTCATGTTGAGGGGAGATAATTGTCATGCACTTTACCTGTTCCATAGCTCTGTGTGGGAAGTATGGTGACATTACTGCTCCCAAAAGTCTGTGGGACTGAAACAAAAAGAAAGCCTGAAGGTAACTGTCATGAATACAACAAAAACAGAGCAGCTCTACAGTCCCTGCAATGACCTGTCTCTGGACAGTGGCAGACGAGATGCTCTTGGCCACCTCCTGTGAGGATTTTTCATTTTCTATCTTTGAAGCTTCCATCTAACTACTATTATTTTTTGTCATGCCCTACACCCCAAATCTTGTGTGTGTGCATGTGTGTGTGTGTGTGTGTGTGTGTGTGTGTGGCAGTAGGTGTGAAATGTTGAGAAAAAGAACAAGAGAAAGGAAGAGGGATGGGTGAATTTAGTACCAGGAGGGAAATTTCTCACTCCTTTCCATATATACTTTTGCCAGTGTTGCCCCCCTAGGTGGTGTTTGGAGCACTTCTTCTCTGGGTTCCACAGAGCAGGTGCCGTTCACCTCATGTCTGCTGCCCCAACACCCCCTGCTCTGTAAGCACTCCTGCAGGCAGCCCTTGGCTCCCCTCTTAGTGGCCCCTGCCAATTCTAAGAGTTGAGGCTAACTGAAACTAGGTTCAGGACTGGGGATTTTGGCAGACACGGAGGCAGGTGAACATTCCAGAGATTTCCTATGAGCAGAGTCCGTTTATTTCTTTAAAGATAAATAAGGGAATTGATAGGCCTCTAAGAAGCCTCATTTTTCCTGGTTGGCCAAGCAGATACTGCAGTGGCTTCAGACGCTGGTCAAAACCTCTCCTCGGCTGCCCAGTTATTTGTCCCGTGTGGTTGAAGACCAATTTAGTTTACCCAGACACCAAATCAGCGACTTAAATTATATTACTGAAACATACAAGTGAGCATTAATTTTTCATTTCATTCCCCAGCTCAAAGGCTCTTTGTGATATAAAATAACCTGTTTTTCATGAGCAACTGTTTTGGGGTTATAGCTACACAGAACTTTGTAAGTATTTCATGAATATTTCCTCCACATAGCTCACTGTTCTAGGAGGCTTAGTTGATATAAAGATGAAGAAGAAATTATCTTTCTCCTAAAGATGTTTGTAGTATAATAAATGTTTTAAGAAGAAGTGAGAGGGAGGTCCTTGGAAAAGCTTTCCAAGGAGGAGGTTTGACAGGGAGAGCCTCATCTCTTGTTTGCTCCTTAGCTTTTGGCATGGGGTTTTGTGCTTTATAGAGGACAGCTGATTGATATCTCCTGTTTTCATTCTTCTGTTGGTCTAGCAGAGTGATTGGCACACAAAAAAGTACTGCTTACAATCTTTGAGATTTTTGTGGGATATGTTTTTTTATAGCAATTCCTTTAGGTGCACAACATGTTAGAGTTTATAAAATACTTTCTCATTACATTATAGTAATTATATACAAATCATCCTCATACCCAGGAGGAAAACTGAGGATCAGAAATTTCAATCAGCTTACTCTAGGTTTCCCATTGATAAAAACAAGAAAATTAATTAGAAGATCGTTTCTTTATTTTCTGGGTGTGCTATCCTTTTCCCCCTCACATTATTGAGATATAAGCAGTGAGTAAGCTTAATTAGGTGTAGGAGGTGATGATTTGATCCATGTACATGGTACAAAATTATTAGCTACACAGTAAGGCTAGTTAACATCCCCATCACTTCACAAAATCCCCTACCCCTTTTCTTGGTGGTGAGAATATTTAGCATTTACTTTCTTAGCAACTTTCGAGTAGTGTGTAATACAGTCTTGTAAACTATAGTCATCACACTATACATTAGATTCCTAGAACGTAGTCTTATTAGAGCAATTAGAATATCTTTAAGGACCCTTCCTGCAAATGAATTTCTTGGGAAAGAAGGGCTGGAGAAAGGTCTGTAAGAAGTCAGCACACAAAATCCTGGAGGTACAGGGGAATAATTGTCATGCACATTACCTGTTCCATAGCTCTCTGTGGGAAGGAAGCTGACATTACTTCCGCCAAAAATCTGTGGGACTACAAAGAAAATCAGTTGTTGGCTCAGTCCCAAAGGTGGCTGCAGGATGAATATAACAAACCCACATCACCATGGGGGCTACTGGGCCACCATGATTGTCACTGTGTGATCAGGAGCTCTCTGACTCAGGTCAATGAAGATGTATAGGGTTTTTTTTTTTTCCTTTTTTGGGGGGAAGTGTGTTTTCTTATTCATATTCATATTTTCTTCCTGCTCTCTTCCATGATGACAAATGCACCTTCAGTTTGAGTCAGAGGGAAGACACATTTTACCCAACTGCTTCTTTCACTCATGTTTCCTTCCTCATTTATGTTCCCTACCAGTTTCTCGGGCTGGAGAAGATTCTTGGTGCCACTGCAAGGAAACCCTTTGCTATGGGGCCTCTTCTCCTAAGCATCTGGATGAAAGTGACTATGGACATAGAGGGTAATCTCTCCCCCAGTAAAATCCCATTACCTTATTATGCAGCCCTTATCTCGGCCTTATCATTGGGTTGAACTGACACTGATTTTCAAGTTTGAGCAGCAATAATAAGCACTGACAAGTATTTTACCTCAGATTACCCACTTAACACTGTAGTGGCAAAAGCTTTGTGTGGTGTTCTAACCATCCAACACTGGTCAGTTCTACATCTCCAAGGGAGACCAAGGGACCTGGCCCATTGTGTGTGCTGGGAAGTGAGAAGAGTATTGTCAGTTGCCCCTACACTGGGTTCCTACCCCCAGGTGGAAAGACTTAGGCACATTGCCTTTATATTCAACTACTCTTTCTGAGAGAAAAATCAGAGAACAAGACTGTATGGGGTTAGGGTAAGAGGTTGCTCAAATACTCACAATAAAGCAGGAAAAAGATCATTCCAATCATTTTAAGCACCACTATGATAAGCCCATAGATTATCATATGCCAATTCATAATGAAGGAGATGAGAAGACCTGTCGGGATTAGAACACAGTACCACATTCAGAATCTGGGAACAAGGCTTCTTTCCAGCAGGATATATGCCTCTTTTCCAGAACACCCCATGGGAGTCTTGGAAGGCAGGCATGCCATTGACAGCTAGCTACAAGAATGAGATTCGACCCATGCCCAGAAGATGCATAGGATCTTGTACTGATGGAATGCTCCCTCTCCTTCACCCATACCTTAGCTCTATCCTTTATCCCTGTCTATCTGTGGCCTCCTAAACTCTGTCTGTCTAACAAATCCTCTCCTGGACTCTTTGAGAATCTTTAGTTTTGAAATTATCCTGATCTCTGGGACCTTCTCTGTGGTCTTGATCATACAGACTTCAGGTGCCAGAACACTCAATCTCTAAAAGACTATGCCCGGACTCTTACAGACAGGACAGGTGTCCCCAAAGTTCTTGGCATTGGGGAAGGACCAACAATCTGTGCAGAGAGGACAGACAAACAGACTCACCTGCTTTCTCTTGGGAAGGCTGGCCTAGTTTTCAGGTGGGGGTCTTAAACTTGGTGTGGCGGGCAGAGGCACCTTCAGAGAATCTGCTCCTTCTGTTCAAGCACCGTTCTTCCTTCTTCACACAGTGTTTAGTATATCTTGGCAGCATCCCCGTGCAAACACTTCTTCCTGGTAAGCGTTCTTGGCAAGGGGAGTGGGTGGGGCAAGGAGAGGAAGGGAGTTTTTAGCCTCTGCAAGAGGAAGCTTCATGCCAGGGGATCTAGTAAAGGGGAACATTTTTAGGAGAATTTGGAAAGCCACCTTGACACAGACTCACCCTATGTGTCTGAATCTACTTGAAATACAGTAGGAAGAAAGGGTGGTCAAAGGTTAACAAATAGGGAATCTGGGTGAAGGGAAATTATTTGTCCTTTCCTTCCTTGTAACATTTCTGCATAGCTGAAATTATGTCAAAATAAAAATTTTAAGCAAAAGAAATCCATCTGAAGTCACTGATGTTAGTGAGCAGGTCCTCCTGTGTCCCATCTGTTCCATTCACTGTCATACAGCTCTGCGCAGTACCTTTTATCGTGGACTCCTCCTCTCTGGTCCCAGACCAGGTGCCACCTGAGGATGGGGACCGCTCAGCATTTCTTGAGCCTGGCACTCTGCTAGATACAGGAAGTGAAGTGAGGGTGAACAATAGTAACATCTTATTATCAGGGAATTTTTACTGCCTATTAAATTTGAAGTTTTCCTTTTATCATATTTCCTTAATATAAAAGCCACATGTGCTCATTACAAAAAATGGCTAGAAAATATTCACAGGGAAAATTGAAAAAAAAAACAAAACTGTCCATGTCAACTCACACATTCAGCTATAGTCGCTGTTAACATCTCTGGGAATATATTCTTTCTAGATGAGTAGATAGTAAAAAGACAGATGATAGATTAGGTGGATAGATAGATAGATAATAGATGGCAGGTAGACACTGGTTCATTTGGAAAAATGGGATCGTATTATATATGTTGTTTTGTAATCTATACCCTGTAGGCTAAGCTAGCACTATACAGATATCCTTCCATGTTAAAATATGAATTTTTGTAATGTATTATTTTAAAGTTTATTTATTTATTCATTTATTTATTTTAAAGTAATCTCAACACTCAATGTGGCCTAGAACTCACAACTCTAAGATCAAGTCACTTACTCCACCACCTGAGCCAGCCACGTACCTTGCTAATGTTTTATTTAATATACATATAGTATTTAGGTATAAACATATATCATTTACTTAACAAGTGACAACTGTGATCCTTTGGGTAAATTGTAATGGATATAAACAAAAGTTTTAAGTTAATCCTAGGTTATTGGTAACTTTAAGTTAGTCTTGATTACTGCTTCTGCCATTTACTAGCTGGATGTCCTTAACTAAGTTCCTTAATCTCTTTAAACTTCCATTTCTTCATTTAGCAATAGGAGTAATTATAGTAAATGCCAGATGAGATTGTTGTGAGATAATGCCAAGGTAATGCTTACAATTTTATTAGCATGATAATTGTCACCTTGATATAATTTGTTAGTACTCTAGCTATTTTGTAATGTTGACATCAACAGCATGTGGAGTCCACAGCCCATTGCTTTGGAAAATCACTGGAAAGGGTCTTCTAACTGCACAGTTGTAAGGAAGGTATCACACATTGTACTCTGAAAAAAGATGTGATCACTGTAATCCTCAATGAGATGTTATAGGTTGAGATATAAGATTTTCTGCTTAGTGAGTCCAAGTAGACATTTTTCCTCCAGACCAAGCCCTAAAAATATAGGAGAAAGTTTTTCTAAAAGAAAAAAACTGAGTTTAATGGGTATAGAGTTTTTACAAGGTGAAAAGAGCTATGGCAATGGGTAGTGGTGATGGTTGAACAAAATTATGAATGCACTTACCAGTGGTCAAGGTGGAAAATTTTGTGTATATTTTACCGCAATTAAAGTATTGAAAAAAAAACCCTGAAATTTGACTTTGGTAATCTTCACATGATATTAAGATAAAAATGCAAACTTTAGGATGTGTATTATGTAATATAATAATTGTCTTCCTAAGACAATGGAGTCCACTGTAAAGTGAAATTACAAAAGTGTTCAGGGAGATAGAAAGCCATGCCCACACCTGTTCTTGGAAAAACTTTGAAGGGGACACAGTATATAGCTAAACAAGGCTTCTGGGTGTACTGTGGTGTGTTGTGGGGAAAAGAGTGTGTGTGTGTGTGTGTGTGTGTGTGTGTGTGTGTGTTGTGTGTGTGTGTGAGAGAGAAAATTGAAATGGATAGTCATTATGAACTCTTCTAAGGAAGAACAAAAACAGGGACACTGAGTTTCCCTTCCCTGCTTCCAGGACCAACTATGAAAGCTGGCAGAGCATGGCACCAAATAGATGGATTGCCTGTTTTCAGAATCTACGCCCTATAATGACAATGGCAGCAAAAATACCAGTGACCGTAGGAACTGTGACTGCCCTCTTTGTATTGATAAGTAACCATGCATATTGTGGGGCGGTGCCTGGGAAGGAAATCTGGAAGAAGGGGCTCTTATGATTCATTGCTTGATGTGTTGGAGTGGTATCAATATGGCCACTTACAAAAAAGACTACATTTTATACCTCACACACAGAAGGAAAGACAAATACTGTCTTTTGAGCTTTATTATTAGGTACATATACATTTAAATGTATGTATTTCCTTCACTCTATATTGTAGGGGTTCTTCCAAGCAGTTTAATGAGAAAACATGGAAATTGAAAGAGAACTGTTGTTTCCTTTTTTCTTCCAAGTCACAATTCTTGAAAGGACTGTCAATTTTTACTGCCTCTTCTCCCTTGCCTCCCGCTTTCTCCTTAGCTCACTCCAGTTTGAATCCTACCGTGACTACATCACAAAGTAATGACTCCTACTCAATAGTTAAGCGAATACCATTTGATCTTCATATTTCCTGATCTTGAACAGGGCCCCACAGCATCTTATGTTGTATGCTTCTCTTGGCCTCCATGATTCCATATTCTCCTGGTTTCCTGTCTTTCTCTCTAGCCTCTCTTTACTTTCTTCTCTGCCTATTCCTAAAATTATATACTTCTTCTTCTCTTCCAAGTGTCATGGTTTTAGCCACCATGCTCACGAAGATGATTCTCAAATCTGACTCTGAATTTCAGATGGGTGTATCTTCTGACTAGTTTCACTTTTCACTCAGATGCTCCACAGACAATCTGGAGTCCACATGTCCCTAAATATATTAATTAATTAATGCTCTGCTAAATGTGAATGTTCATCCTCTTATGTTCTCTGTCTCAGAATGTGAAGATCATCTATTCAGTTTCCCAAATCATAAAAGGTGGGTCTTCTTCTCAGCTCCTCTCTCTCTTCCTTCTCTATTCTCTTCTCTTTCCATCCACTCAAACTCCACACCATGATGACCTGTCTCCTCAAGTGTGTCAAACCTGTGTTCTTGTCTCCTTTCTCCCGCAAGCTGCCCCTTGCTCTCTCACCAGCTCTCCCTTCCATCTTCTCAACCACCTCCAAATAAACCACCCGGCATACTCTTGTTTCAACAGTTCTCTCTGCAGTCGGGATGATTTTTCTAAAATGCAGACTTGATGAGATCATTTCCCAGATGAAATATTTGAGTAACTTTCCATTGCTGTTAGAATAAGGTTTGGGTTCCTCATTGTGGTCTATGAGTCTTTGTGTGTTCATTATTTCAGCAAATGTTGCTGAGTGTTTGCCATGTGCCTGATATGTTTCTTGGGATGTATGTTCTGGTTTTTCTGTGCATCTCAGGAAACCACATCTACCCATGCACCGTCTGTTAGCAACATTACACTTCTAGTTCTTTATTCACTCTCCTGGGTCCAAGTCTTCACATATTCACCTGACATATATTTATTGAGTACATAATACATGTAAATCAGGAATTGAACCACCTCGCCTCTCCCAACCGCATATATATTCCTATGTATTCTCTTTAACTAGATAATTTTGACTCATTCTTTGAGTCTCAGGTGAAATGTGATTTCTTTCAGGAAAAATTTCCCTCATTCTCCTTCCTTACTCTAACTGGGTTTAGGTGCCCTTTATCTATGGACTCATGATATGGTGTACTTTTCCCCTGAGGGCTAAGGGAAATGCATGATAATGTACTTGTTTGCTTCCCCTGTTAGACTCTATGAAGTCATGAAGGCGGGGCTGAGCTTATTCTCATCAGCGCCATAACCCCGGAATATCCACAGTGCTTGGAACACCGCACTATGGCATTAGACTTCTAAACTTGCTGGATTTTTATCATGTACTCATGGGAATGTGCTAGGGCCTACAAAATACTTTTAATCAATTAAAACTTTGTGTAATATTCTTTGTGGACAGTAGTAAGTCATTTTCAAGAAGGATAACTTAAGAGCTAGACCATCTCTGAAGGTATTGATTCCTGGTTAGAAAGTATCATATCTTCCTTAAATAACCATCCTGAAGTATGGATTGTGACTATAGTACCTCAAATGATAAGTACCCACCTCCTACTTTATATAGAGTTAATTTATGTTCACATATATGTTACCAATACTGTGTCATTTTAAAGTAAATTGCCACTCAGACAATGCAATGCCCCCAAATCCATAGAACGCATTGAATAAGGCTACTTTTGGAACAGCAATAAGAACCCTTCATTAGAACTGTATTATATATATCCAAACCTGAAGAGTCATGAGCTGGACGTGAGGGGTGGCTGCGGAGCCTAGAGCAGAGAAGATTTATGTGGGAAGGTTGTCAGGTTCTGGAACCTACCAGGGGCAGCATGAAAACACTCACAGGTGGCTTCCACTTTGTGCAGTGACTCACTGAATAAAGTAGAAGTTGTGCTGCAGAGGACAGTTGGATAATGAGGACATTACTGCATTCCTAGCAAGCGGCTGCAGCATCATAAAAAAAGTGCTATACTCAGTAGTTAGATTTCTGCTTGGGTTGTCTCTAGTTGGGCAAAACAGAACCTAAGGAGGTGAAAATAACTTTCCTCATGTTCCTTCATCAAACCCTATAAGATTTGACCCTTTCTAATATCTATCCCATCCCATTGTGACCTTGAATGTGGGGACGATGTCCTAATCTCCCACTTCAGAGTTCAACATAGAGGAGAAAAGATGAGCAGATATGTGAGAAT